ACCTTGAGCGAGATATATCCCAAGATTCGCTGCAAGACATAAAGCAGAAAGTGCAGGATAAGTACAGGTTTGTTGTTTGAATAATCCTTTACCTCAGAGCTGCCTGTATTCCCATCCTGTGTGACAGGTAGTGGCACGTGTACTTGTCAAGCTATGGTTTCTCCAGAGTCCCATCCCTGGGAAGCTGTTTGCTGTTGGCCTTCTGCCATCCCTTGTGATCATCAGTCAGCCCCTGGGCATCAGAGAACAGCAGTGGTGGTGTCCCGCACCAGGCCCTGATCCTCAGGGGTGAAGCCCTCACACAGATGCTGGCAGCAGGATTCTGTGTGCCCTGGCTGGGACCAGCCTTTGGGGAGATGACAGCCTCCAGGGAGAGGCTCCAGCCCTGCCTTTTAGCCACTCTGCTGAGCAGTAGCAAGAAGATTTAATCCCATAATGGACAAATCTTGTGACCAGAAGCTGCAGCTTTTCATACAGTGCTTTTTCTGCACAGGAGTGCATAGGAATGGCCAGGACCAAGATGGGACCTGCATAGTGAGGGCTGAAGAACAAGGAATGACTTTATTGTTCCAGGCTGACAGCTTTAGCTTAGGATGAGTTGCCATAAGAGAGCAATCAGCTCTCTTATTTATCTGCTTTTGTTCCATTTCTGCAAAAAGTGGGTGTAGAAAAGCTGTCCTTAAGGAAGAAAGAGGGAGCAGAGCAGAGGAACCAGGGTCCAGGTGGCACAAGTGCCAAGGGTTTTCACATTCCCAGGGGAATCACTTCTGCACAGTGGAAAAATACAAAGCTGGGAATGCAGATGAGTCACAGGATTAGGCTTGTGCTTTTGAGGCATATTGCCAAAGTCACTGAATTTGTTATGCCTCGCTTAAGGGGGAAATAAAGCCAAAATAGGGTGAGCCCTAGTGACTAAGGGACTCTGGGGAGTTGCAGTAGCCATTAAGCTGTGGTGGGCCTGTGGCTTGTACTGCTGTAGCACGGCTGGGGCTGGAAAAGCCTTACCAGACCTTCTCCTTTGAGGTATTTTGTGATTAACCCTCTTAAGACAACCATTAAGTTGGTATCTCAGATCAAGCTGCATGTTCAGTTAAGTGCTCTGAAACTGGATGCACTTCTAGGCATAGCAACAACTATCCAGAAGAAATTAAAACCTAATAGAGCCTGAATTGCCTGAAAACACAGTATCCCAAAACTGCTTTCATGTTTCTGGCATGAAAGTATGCAACTGTCAAGCCTGTGCAGGTCCCATGTTAACTAGTTCAGTCATGTCTCAGTCGTGTCCTGCACAGTGCTCTTTGTGTGCTGGTTATGGCATAAGACTAGGACTGAGGACATTGTTGACTTGGGTTTAAAGAGCTCTGGGAAGGTGCAGGACCTGACCCCGTAGCTGGTTTGGTTTGAGCTGTTTCAATCCCTTAGCTTGCAAAGACACTTCTAGAAAGTGGGATTAAACCCCCCCAGCAAAGTGTCTGAAGTTGGGAGAGCAGCAACAGTGCATGTGTGCTGTCACATGCTTCAGAAGATCAGTGGGACTTTGTGTGTGATGACTTCTGTTGTAAGAGCTGATAGTGGTGAGAAGAGGCAGGGAGAGCAGTTTCACCCAGATAAACCTGCAGGAAAATGAAGTGCACAATTCCCGGCAGGAATCAGTAACTTGGCGGTCAGCTCCTGGTTTCCAGTTTCTCCCATTCCAGCCCAGACTGGTGTGTTGTGTGCTCCTGATCCATGAACTGGTTCCACAGCTGGGCCTTGGGAGCTGTAACTGAGACTTGTCTTGTCCCCTGCATGCCTAAAGATGCTGGAGGCTTTGATACCACCACTGGAAGGGGTTTGATTCGGAAATGCTGCTGCTTATTTATCATTTGCTCTTTGGAACCTGAATACTTTAAATGTTTCTCTGCTTTTTATCTTTTTAGTTGGCTAACGCACCCGAAATGAACATGGCATCTTTTGATATGTTCCTATGATATCACTTTTCCTCAGTATCATTGATCCTGGTAGGACTGTACCTAACTCTGGGATCAGGTTTTTCTGCAGCTTTGTTGAAATGAGTGTAGGTGGGAAGACCCTGCAGGGTGTAGTAACCCTCTGAGAGCCAGGAGTTGCGATGCGAGGTAACAGTTGCACTCCATCCAGTCCAGCAACCCTTTTTGTAGCCAGCAGGACTGCTTCCATCTCCACTGGGATTCTGGAGGGGGAATGAAACTTTGCCCAGCCGGCCTCATGGTTTTTGTCATCCTGCTACAGCTCAGAGTAGGCACCAGCCCATGTCTGAGGAAGCTTAAGCCTGTTTCGGGTGTCACCGCTGCCCCGTGCTCCAGCTTTAGCACTTAGCAGCCACGGCTTCTTCCTTTTGCAGTTGGTAGTGGCGGTTTCTCAGCTGTAGGGATGCTTTTGCATGGGAAGCTCTAAATTTGCATGCTGTTTTTGCAGCTAAGGACCTGGAGCTGAGTGACTGGAGTAACTCAAGTCTTAATTAGTGCCGTTAACGGGCTATGAAGGCCCTTCTCAGGGGGATCTCCTCTTTTGGAAGTGAGGCTTAATGTAGACTTGCATTGCTGGCTGCCGGGGCTGAGCCGTGGTTCCTGACGTGCTTCCTCTGTGCTCTTCCTCTTTGTCCCAGATACTGCGAGAGCCGACGAAGGGTTTTGTTGCAGCACGTGCATGAAGGCTACGAGAAGGACCTGTGGGAATACATCGAGGACTGAGCCCGGCCCCGCATAAAACGAACTCTGAAACCTTTCCCATCTCTAGAGTGCTCATGCGATTCCAATAAACACACACAAGGCGCTCCGCCTGTTACACCGCTGGTCTGTAGTACTGGGATTCTGTTTTGTTAACAGAACATTTAAGTAAATTATATTGTAATAAAAAACAAAGGTAGATAACCCATTGTACAACAGTATTCTAGGCGGCCAACACGCGTGTGACAGACGCACTAAAACGAAAAACCCTCCGACTTTAACTTGTAACGTAGCTTCATTCTCCAAGCTGACTCCTTTTTTCTTTTCTATCTTTCTTTTCCTGTGTGTAGTACAGATGAAATTTAAACCAGTTTCTTGACACTGCTTTTCATGTCCAAACCAGCCATTTTGATGTACTTTGGTAAGGGGGGGAAGGCTCTCCTGCCCCCCTCCTCCTCCTCTCTGCCACCCACGTACATGGATGAATGTGGATTTGGCTCGTTGTAAAGGTGATTTTGGGGAGGGGAGGAGGGGGGGGTACACAGCAAGGAAGAAAAAAAAACCACAACAAAAAAACCTTTGTATATGACTTTTAAAACAAAAAAAGAGGACAACACAGTATTTTTCAAAGTTGTATATAGCGCATATGCATGGACAAAGAGCAAGCGTGGCACGTGTTTGCATAATGTTTAATTACAAAAAAATATTTATTCTTTAAAAATCTTCAAGATTATGTCTATTTGCTGTGCACTTTCTTTCAGTTTGGTTTGGTTTTGTTTGGTTTGCCCTGGGCTTGGGGGGGAAGGGGGGGGGGGAAGCGTGTGCTGCTGCAGTGAGTATCCAGTTTAGTTCATTTCTTACCGGAAGGCTTTTCCCAGAGCAGTAGATTCTCCTCTTCCTTCTGTGTGTGTTTCCATCCGCTGCTGGCACCAGCCCTGTCCCCCTGCGCAGCTCCTGGCTCTCGGTGACCCCTGTGCAATGCAGGGGTGCTGTGGTTCAGGGTGCGTTTTGCCTTTTAATCCATTTTCTTTCCTCGTTTTGGCCCTGGATCAATACCTGCCCCAGTGCAGCTCTGCTGTTCCCACCCGTGCACACCGGACACGTGCTCTGACCCCAGAGGAGGGGTGTGTGTGGATTTAGAATTCTAATTCCAGGGCAGGAAAAGGAAGGGGTGTTTGTGCCCCGCTTCTCACAGGACTGTGGATCTCCTCTCTCTCCCCCTCTCATCTGTCAAAAGGACCCTTCCTTCCTGCTTGAGTTTCACTTACATTATAACAAGTCGTAACATTGAAAAGGAAAGATGGTTGAATTGTCTTTGTGTTTGTTTTGGGCTCAGTCGCTGGGCATCCTGTCCTGGCAGGTATTTACCACTCCATCTAGCGCAGCAGGCGTTGAAATCAGCGGGCTATTTTTCAGTGGACAGGGGACAGAACTCATGAGTTAGCTGCTGAGTCCATTTTTATGATTTCTGTAACAAGAGCTATGTTAAAGTAAACAAGTGGTGGTGGTTTTATTAAATTGACTCCTGTATAGGACTTCCTTTTGTGGTATTTTTCGCCAGGTTAGCGGCCTCAAAGGCTTTCTGCCAGCTGCGAGGGGGAATCGACCTGCAAAGGGGTGAATGAAGGCAGGGTTTAAATACCAAATGTTGCTTTGGCTCCCGCACCGATGGCTCCCATCACTTCCAGGGGTGTAGTTCGATCCCTCTGCACCTGTTTTGCCCATCAGCCCTCCCAACACTGGCTTGTTTTCCTATGGGATTCCTGTGGGAGACCCGCACCACAGCGGCCTTCCCGGTGCTGCTTCAGGGCCTGCCGCTGCTACCTGCAGGCACTGAGTGGCTCCTCGGGCTTCCCTAGGCTCGCAGTTCCCTATCCATGCATTAACACGCTCTGGAAAGCGCTGTGTCCCCCGGAGAGCGGTGGTGACCTGGCGGTGGGGCCACAAAGGATCCCTGGTGTGGCGGCAGACCTTAAGATAATGATAATTAAGCAGATAATGACGGTTCAACAGCTCATGATGATGATGAACCCCCCGTCCTGAGGGAGCGCTGCCCGGCCCCTCAGCCCCGGACACCGCGAGGGGATGAACCCTGCCCGCACCTCCGCCCATCACCGCTCCCTCGGGCACCCCCGGCCGGCGCGTCCCGCCCCACCGGCGGCCCCGTTCCCCCTGGCTCAGCCGCGGAGCCGAGCAAACCCTTCCCAATAAACGTGTACGGTCCCTGCTCACTGCTCCCTGCTCCCACCGGCGGACACGGCCAGAGCGGACCGCGACGCTCCCGCCGCCGCCTTCCCGTCGGGCCCAGCGCCGCGCACCTCTGTGGTTGTCCCGGAAGTGCTTCCGCGGGTAACCATGGTAACGGGGCGCTCGTTCCCGCTGCCGGCGCCATGGCGGAGCCGCAGGCCCAGGCCGCACCGGTGAGGGGCGTCCTGCCCCGGGGCTGCGGGCGGGGGGAGGCGGCGGGAGGGGGGTGCTCCTGAGAGAGGGGTTGAACCCGCGCACGCTTGGTGCTGGAAACGCAGCGGGAGCTCAGCTTTGGTCCGGCGGGGGGGGGGGGGGGGGGGCTGAGAGCTGAGCCTCTCCCGGCTCCGTCAGCGACCCGCGTTTGCTTCACCTGCTGAGTTACATTAACCAGGTGTTACACGGGTAGTCACAGAAGATAATACTTTGACTTATGTAGCGCTAGTACTGCCTACCTGAGAACCCGTACGTGTTAACGAGATGTTAAGGTACCTCAAAGTTCCCGTTTTGGAAGGGGAGGTGGATTTTCCCTCATCTTCCAGCGGTGCACTGAGAAGCTCAGTGTGACCCCCAGACTGTAACACATTGATCCCGTGGCAGGGGTTGGAACTGGAGGAGCTCTAAGGTCCCTTCCAGCCCAAACCAGGCTGGGATTCCATGATTCTAAATCCCTGTCAAACGCTCTTAAGGAAAATAAATGGTTTTGGGATTACTGGGACAAAAATCCTCTCGTGGATAAGTATCTTTAAAAAGTGAGGAGGAATAAATGCTTCTGGTTTTGTGGTGGTTCGTGCAGCCCTGCAGGGCTCTGTCCCGGGTCTGTGGTGATGAGAGCGTGTCCAAAGGGTCTGGGGGAAGCAGTGGCTGGAAAGCTGTTGAGGTGAAGGAGGGCAATGCATGGAAGTGTTCGCAGTGCTGAGTGACAGGGCTCGGAACTGGGATAACGTGTGTGGGTATTGTACATACACGTCTCTAAAACCTCAGGGGTTGTGCTGGTTATTGCTGCTTAGGAGCGGGGGGATGGTTCTGTGATACAGCAGGTAGGCCACGTTCTGTGACAGCAGCTCAGCTTCGCCCCCCAGGAATCAGAGAGGTGAACAAAATGTTGGAAATTAGGAAGAAATAAAACCTCGCCTGTGTCCATTCCGGGTTATTTTCCATGTCTCAGGCTGCGCTCAGGGTCTCCCATCCTCCCAATCTCCAGTAAAAGAGAGTAAGCTAGAAAGTGTTCCCAAAGCATCGCAAGGAACAAGGGTGGACTGGGTCTCCCCTTTAAAAGCATGTTTATGAGGGAGAGCGAAGGCGACACAGGCCTGCGCAGTCCTGGTGTGTCTGAGGAAGAGGAGTGGGGAATGTCTTCTCCCCAGGAAACTGGAAGTGAGAAGTAGCACCACTTCCCTGCGTGTTCCTGTTTCTCATTTTTGGATGCCGAGCAGAGGAACATATCAAATGCATTTGTTTTCCCCAGGCTGGGCCCCTCCTGGTCCATGACATCGGGGCAGTGTTTGCAGGTTGAGGTTGGCTGCTGTGTGATGGGACATGGCTGCGTTACCTGCCTGCGGCCTCGGATGGCTCCCCAGGAACAGCTTTGTTCTAATTAACTTCCCAAGCATTTTATAGCAACTGCATTTGAGGTTTGCCTCTGTGATCTCTAATTGGCATCTTAACCGCTTGAGTTCTGTGTTTGCGAGGTAAGGATCACTTCTAGAATCCTAACAAGTAGCAGTGAACCTATGGAACAGGAGTGTGCTCTAAAGCAAGTGGGGTTTTTAAGGAATGACCTAACTAGGCTGGGGAAGAGCAGTGCTTGGCAGGGCGGGCTGTGCCTCGCAGCAACAATGCTATTTTTATATCCTCTTTTGGGATTTGCCAGTTGTCCTTTCTGATTATTTTCTAGAACAGGTCTTCAAGAAACCTCCTCTGGTGTGTTTAATACTCCTCTTTTCTGTCTTTTCAGGTTTCTTCATTGCCAGCGGCTACAGAACCTCTGAAACCCCATGCTAAAAAAGGTTTGTTTGAAGATACAGTTGTGTTTCTTGGGCAGGTTGATTTTAAGATTCCTTTAATAGTGTGGGCAGCTCTCTAGTAAGAAATAAATGTCCACTGGGAACAGACAGGACTATTAGACTGTAAGCTGCTGAGTGGTTCTTTCTAGGGTCTGTATAATCAGCTCAGTGTTGTTGCTGCCTGACTTATTATACCTACAGCCAGAATCATGTTAGCTTGTAATCTAAGAGACTGTATATTTTATTGTGTATATGCTAAAGACTTGGATATCCATTTAGCTTCTTAAGTTACAAGAGGGGTTTGTTTATTTTAGGGTCTTCTTGCTATAAAAAGGGTCTTGGCAAACTAGTGCTGCATCTTGGTGATTTTTCATGTTGCATTTCCTAAGCTTTGATGTAAAAGGGATGTGCAGGTGAGATGAGACCAGTCAGGTTGTAACTGCATTTAATTATTGGTTGGTTGGTTTTGGTGAAAACAGTTTAACTTGGTCCCAGTTACTGTTTTGAAATCCTGGTTGAATCTGAACTGGAACAGGAACAATTTCAGTTACTGGTTTAAATGTTAGGCTGAAGCTTGATGTTTTCCCAGACCCTTTACAAAGCCTGCAGCACAGTTTGATGTTGCAGCCTCTCCTTTCCCCTTTTCCCTCGCCCTTGTGGTGTGACTCATCCCAGTGCATGTGATGAACACACTTCTTGGTGGTACTGAGCTCTGCACACATCCCTAGTACAGATCCGTCCACTGCAGAGACTTTTGTGCCTACCTAAGATGAGCTTTGGGTGTTTTTCTGTGGCTTTTCCTTTATCAAGTATCCAGAGGACCCCATCAATTCAGATTATAATTAAGAGTGTTGCTAGAACCCTGATATAGTGCCAGCCAAAACAGTGTTTCTTTTCCCTCACCTTTTAATGCAGGGAAGCTCAGCTGGGGAGCACTGTGCTTTGGCCATTTTCTACCCTGAATGTGTGATGTGCCCTTTGGAGTACAGTCTGGGAGGCGATCTTCCATATTCCTAAGTTACTTGTGATGGAGACTGCCTCAGTGATCACACTGGCATTCAAAAGGAGCTTATTTGGCAACTCCAGCACTCTTTTACGGTGGGGTGAGGGTTATAAATCAACTGTGCTTAATTAATGAGAGAAATGAGTAGCTGAAAAAGAAAGATGGTGCCATGGGCCTCACAGACACACTGAGGAAGCATCCACCACCAGCCAGTGTCCCTTCCACCTCCTTCTGTTGGTGTTCACCCATGTGGGGAAAACACCAGAGGGGAGAAAGTAGTGAATGAAATCCAGTTACTTGTGGCTCTGGATCTCTCTTTTATACTGATATGACTCTTGACTCCAGATTAACTATGGTGAAGACAAAAAGTAATCCAGCCTGTGACTTCTGTAGTTCTCTTTTCTGTCTCTTAAGGTAAACTGAGGCATCTCCAGTCTCAGTCACACCTCTGAAATGGAATGCCTTGGAAGCCTTTGTGCTTTGCGGTTTAATACTTGACTGTGTTACCTTTAGCTTAGTGGGCAGAAGCTGATTTGAGCTTCCTGATGGTTAATCTCTAGGAAATGAGGGCAGCAGAAAGATTTGTAATGGGGAGTGATGTAACAGTGTCCTTTGTGTGTGGGTGTGATGCTGGGGTCATGTAAGAGAGGAGGGGAGAGACTGAAAGTGATGCTGTATGTGCTTCTGTGGGGTTTGGCAGCAAAGAACAGCATCCTGTTCCCATGACAGGCTTTTGCTTTGTTCTGTTTTAAATAGGATTTTCATAGGATATCTTAATAAAGTGTCTTTTCCTATTTTAGTTTGCCTGAGGAGAATCCTGGTGAAATTTAAGGAGCCAGGCAAATGTACATCAGTTCTGTTTGCATAAACTGGTTTTAAACTGACGTTTTTGGACACTGGTAACTTTCTGGTGCAGCAATTTGCCTTTTTAGGTTTACATTGTATGCCAGAGAGAGACTGAAACCAACATTAAGATCTATGAAATACAGAGATTATCTGGTAAAATATGGTCTCCTATGAAGTTTAGTGCGGATGAAATTTTGCCCAGATAGAGGATGTATTGCAATAACTAAACAGTGTTGTGCAGAAATGTAGCAGAGTATGACCATGTCATAGAGAATCACAGCGTGGTTTGGGTTGGAAGGGACCTCAGAGCTCATCTAGTTCCATCTAGCCTCACCTCCCTCAACCTGCTGCTCACGCTCTGGGGGTGCAGCCCAGCACACAGGGGGGTTCTGGGCTCAGGCACACACTGCAGCCGGGTCATGGGGAGCTTCTCATTGACCAACACCCCCAAGTCCTTCTCCTCAGTCTGCTCCATCCAGTCTTCCCCGACCCAGGGGCAAGACCTTACAGTTGACCTTGTCACTGCTGAAGTCCTAACTTTAATCATCACGGTGCTTGGATTCAGATTATATCATTTTTGCCTGTGTTTGTACTGGGTAGGGCAAAGGTATTAAACATGTTCCTATGGACGGGATCTCAAGTTTGCAAGGAATCATGTGAATGACTGAATGCAGCTGTGAGTTCTGTGCTTAACCAGGAGGCACAGCAGCGGGTGTGTTCTCAGTCTGACCCGTGATGCAGATGAGAATATGTTGAATAATGTTGAACTGTGAGACCTGTCAAGTGGCTTCCCTTCACTGTTGTGTTGCTTTACCTTTCTGGGTGCTCCTGCAGTCCTGTCCATAAAAGAAGGCAAAGCAGAAACCTGGAACCAGTGTTTACAACTCCTAAACAATAATGTGGAGTTAAGAGGTGGAATTTGCTCTTGAATTAGCTGCTGTCAGGGTCACTCTGTCATGCAGCTTTTAGGCTGCAAAGGCCCAAGGGATGGGATTTCAGAGAGCCTCTCTTGCAGGGAAGAGGATGAGCATCCAACGAGGGTCAGGAGCAGATTGTGGTGGTGGTGGGGAAAGGTGTTGTACACGGTGATAGGATGTGAAATCTCTACATCTAGCAATCTAAGGGGACCAGTAAAAGGTAAACCCCTCAGAGTATGTTGTGGCTGCGCTTGGTGACTGTTGTTACTCAGCAGCTGACATGTTAGGAGCTAAACCCATTCATTATTTTGTCCTTTCCCCCCGTGGGGAGAGCTGCTCTCACAATCAATTCCCTCTGTTGCTACCTTGAGATCCATAACTCTGTCCATGTTCATATTTTGTCCCCAAGCAATTCATGGTACAATAAAGGGAGCTCTGTGTCTTGAAGCCATGTAGAGTTACTATCAGCCTGCTGAGATGGGGGCTTAATCTCCTTTCTGCATTCTAAATGAATTGGATGTTTTCCAAGCTGGTTTTGAATTGCAGTAGGCTGAAGATTCCCATCTTCCCACTTTCCTGTGGGCACACGGGCAAGTCAAGTCATTTTGGAGTATCTCCTAGCAGTGGAGAAGTGCTTTTACCACTTGTATTGTTGATTTTTATGGAACACAACTTGAATTTATTTCCCTTTATGGTGGAAAAACGTATCCAGAAAGGAAGCTTTGGGCTCCTTTTAGTCTCAGAACAGTTCAGAGGTTAATGGAACATTTTCAGATGCATTGGATTTCCACACAAATATCAGATTTTGTGAGGAACAGTGATGGCTTTTTAATAACAGGGTAGGAACCTAAAGATGTGTGTGTTGTAATAAATAAACCAGAGCAAAAGAAAGCAGATTTCACTTGAGAACTTGGGCTAGAAATCCATTAGACTGTGAAGAAGGAGAAGGCTGAGTTGTTACCAACCACCTCTATGTTTGTCCAAGGAAGGGTCAGGTAGATAACTGTCAAAGCAAAAACCTTCCCTTTGTGAAGTAGAAAAGCATCAGCAGGGATTAAGTGTTCTTCTCAGTCCTGGGCATTGGGATATTTTAGGGATGGTTTGTAGGTATGTGTTTTTCTAGAGTCTGAAGCAGGGAATTCTGCCTTGGATTAACTGTGACCTTTGGCAAAGCACTTATTTTGTTGGCTTCACCTTGGAGCAAAGTCAACCTCGTGTCTGGATGTTTCAAGGATGGTGTGAGTCTTTGTCTTATATTGGGTTTGGTGAATTCCACTTCAGTCTCATATAATTATGAGCAAAACTAGCAAAAATGTCTTGTCAGGCCTGTGTGGGTCACTGAGAGGGAGGAAATGAACTTCTCCCTGCTTTTATTACACTCTCTCAGAGGCAAAGTAAGGTACTGCCATGAGATTGCAACAGCTGATGAGGTAGGTTTATCAGGGATAAACGTGAGTGCTCAGTGTCCCTTTGTAAGTCACAGCAAAGTTTGATTAGATTTGGATGTTGCAGATAAATAGAAATAGGGAAGTGTGTGATGTGTGTGTGTGTTTTGAAGCTGGGGTTGTATCCTGTGCTTGAGCTCAGTGGTAATGAGGGTGTTCTTTGAAGCTCGAAGTTACCACACTTCTACCACACAGAAACGTGGGGTTTGGGTACAACACCATGGTATTTTGTATCTTACCAGGGTAGTTTATTTTGTTTAATAGATTTTATTCTCAAGCAGTGTGAGTTACTCTTGTCCAGCAAAATCCCACAGCAGCGTTAAGCTCAAATACCATCCTGTTCATGTGGGTGCTCGTCCTTGAAGCCAAGGGTGTCATCCATGGGTTCTAATAGAAACTAATTGCACACGCTGCTTTGATGGGCAGTGAAGCTGGCTTTATCTGCTGCTGAGATGCTCACAGTGCTAAGCCATCTCAAAATGTTACTGTTAGGTAACACCTAACTTTCAGGTTATGCAGAAGGAGAAGTGGCTTTTGATGGTGGGTCCTGTGCAGATGGACAGCTGCTCTCTCTGGGCAGCTCCTGCTCGCACAGATGAAGCAGTGGGGATGCCTCCTGCTGCCACAGATACTTTAAGGGGTCCTGTAAGTATTTTAATGGCTCGAGCACTCCGAGGAGCAGGAGATGTTCGTACCCCAAGGAGCTGATTCCATGCACTTGCCGAGCCGATCATTTCTGAATTCCTGATACATTTTCTGAAATCAATAGAAATCCACTCTTGGAACCGGCTT